GCTAGGAATCAGCAAGAACAATAAAGACAATAAGTCTGGAAACGTGACAGTCCAAACAAAAAAAAATATTTAAAATAATAATAAGAGGCACCATCCCCCTCCCTTCATGTAAAAAAAAATAATCATAAAACAATCTCAGCAAAATAAAACTTCCTGTAATCTGCTGTGACAGCTTAGCCCAAGCTTTCAGAGAAAAAGAAATTAAACTCAACCAAATCCTGGTGAATATCCAATTTTCCCACTCGCACCAACACCCACGTTTTTGTATCCTCCGCAGCTATTGATAAAGGAGCCATTGAGCAAAGTTCTTTCTTGTTTTAATTTTAGAAAGATTTAAATTCTTTCATTTGCAAGGATAATTCCTATTTGCTTTTACCTCTAAATATTACTTTTCATGTTCCTGACAGTATACAAAACAACTGAAAATAAAATAAATTACCTCAGGAAAAAAAATTTCATTCTTCAAAACATTAAGCCTTAAATCTATTTTACATCTGAACACACGTTATAAGCTGCAGTTAGAGAAAGAAATTGCCAGAGGGAGGAGACATGAGACAAATAGCAGCATCCTCCCCCACCGCTTTCCACCCTTGCTCTTTCTAATCAGCTGAAACTACAGCACATGAGAAAGCTTTCTCTGTTTCATCTCAGTGCTGTGCAGTGTTGCAAGGCATAGCACGGCATTCAGGCACTGGAGACTACTCCTGCACTCACTGTGCAGCCTGAGCTGCTGGACTGCGTGGGAGCTAAGGGACAAGCATCCTCTGCTGGCACACGGGATCAGCACAGTCCCTCTGTGTTGAGCTTCCCTAACCTGTATTTTCTATCCTCTCCTCTGAATGGGCAGAGTTCAGCAGCTTCCCAACCCTGAGAGGTTCTTTTGTCGGACTGAAACCACAGACCACTGGTCTCAAGCCACCAGAGACTGCTAGTCCCCTCTTCTGTACCCAAACAACATCCTGGCACACCCTGAAAGGGAGACCCCACCACTTTGCCATTTCTGCCTTCCTCCTGTTAGTAAAATCCTTGAGATTCCCTCACCCTCTGGTTGCAATTAGCAGGAAAATACCACCAAGAGAGACATTCTGCCACCAATTCTGCAAATTAGCAAGTAAAAATACTGCCTGGCAAACCATACTTTGTTTATATCTTTTGCCAATTAAACGAGTTTGAACCACTTATGAGAATGCTTCATAACATGCTGGTAAGCATGCAGTGGTAAGCTTTGTAAAAATAATCAAGTGTTGGTAATAGGCCAATTGGTACAGCCTCTGCTATTAAGTCTTTGCTTCGAGGTAGGGAGAGACAGCCAATCTGCATGTGGATAAACAAGGCTATAGGCTAATCACCAATACAAACCAACTGGATTACAGGTCCTAAAATGAAGAGACATTCAAACTTATGCTGCTGTCTTGCCAAACAGCTGACCTGGAAGCACCCCATGCACTGGTTAGATTACTGACCAGCCAGTTTCTGAACTGTTAAGCAGTTGGCTCCATTTTCCATCACCCCAGAGGACTGCCTAGTGACTAATCACTGCAGTCCCCAGAGAAGGAAGCTGTGGTCTCCCAGATGCAGAAATAAAACCACACTGAAGTTGCTGATATAACAGGGATAGGGGCAGATTTCTTAATGGGGTAGCAGTCACAAACCAACCAGCCAATGTGCTGGTAACCAAAATAAGATTGCATGTGTTAAGAAAACAAACAAACAAAAATCCATAAAAAATAAGAATACTAAAACTACTAGCCTACAAAAACTTACTGTATTAAACCATCTGTACTTATTCTTCTAATGTACCACATACATTAGGGGCTAGTCATTCATGTTAGTGACAACTAAACTTTTCTATGAATCAAATCTGACATTTTAATTCCTGACATTTCATTTAAATATTGACTCTTTTGTTTAATGACCTAAAGCCAGGGAATGTGTAATTCATGTCACCTATCACCTTGCAGGGCATGTGAGGTTTCAGCACTTTTACTCACTATGAAGAACATCTTAATATGAACATCCAGCTACTTTCATGGGAAGAGACAACAAGTCCACATGTACATGTGTTTTATGGACAAGAAACCAGAAAGAGGGTAAAACTAATGACCTCCGCAGTGGGGCATTTTCCTCGATGTCCTCCAGAGTCTCCAGAGAAGATCGCTGGGAGATCAGCCGACGCCTGCAGAGAAAACAGAACACACACATCACTCTGATTAGAGGGCACGAGAAAATCCTCAAAGCTGTTATTAAGTAAAGATCACAAACTGCCCTTCACTATCCAAGCCATACCTTTGGATATCAATAAATTTTGTTCCATTTTGCTTATCTTGCTCAATCTATTTGATCCCGAACAGAAGCAAACTTACTCCATACAAGCTTCTACAGCAAAACAGAAGCTGAAACTTCCAACAGCTCCTCCTTAGTTTTGGTTTCCCTTCCTTCAAGGATTTAACACCCACCTAACACCAGTCCCACGTGCTGCAGTACAGCTTGCAACACTACAAGTACAGCACTTTGATAAAAAAATGCAGGAGTAGATCTACAGAGGCTGCCTGTTGCTCACACTGCCACAGGGGACACTTCTCTTTGCCCCTTGCCCTTTATACCAAATAAATGCCACTCGTTTCTCAGTGATATCCATCTCATTTGTAAGGACTGCCTGAGGAGAGATGAAAGATGGTGGTGCCAGTAGCACTGGGCACAAATCAGCAGTCTAAAAGGGAGCTCTGACCATCCCTGTGGGTAGCACAGGTGTGTTTAGTCCTATTTTAAACCATTTTCCTATAGCTGAGTCAGATCCCTCCTCCACCTTCAGTGAAGTGAAGTACGGAAATCTTAGCATTACAAGTTTTCTAACTGTACTAGCAGGCAGGGAAGAAGCCTCAGTACAATCTTGGCTTTAGCAGTGATTGCTGCTGCACAACCTCCAAACACCCTGACAGTAGCACAAAATGAGGACCTGTGTCCAGACCTCCAAAAAAACCCATAAACACAAAAAAGGAATGCGTAAGATACAGCCCACCCGCAAGAGCCTAATGAAAAATTCAGCCAGCCATCATCAAAACTACTCCATCGCTGATGGGCGTTAAACAGCTGCAACAGCCAGCAGAGCCGAGACACTGTGCCCCAAGCACCAGGCTGGCAGGAGGAATGCCAGCACCCATCACTCCTAGGGGCCACTGCTGAGGCATACAGCACCTCGCCAATGACTAAAGGAGTATGAACTTAAAAGATTAAAGTCTTCATAGACTATTATTATTTTCTGCCCAATTCCTACTGAGCTGCCTTACTCCTTTGATCTGCAAGCAAAGAGTTTCCAGAATGGTATGAGCACCTCCATGCTTGGAGGGGTGCTCATTAATTTATTCCTGGGCTGTATTTTATCAATAAATTGTTTTCTCTGATGCCAGTGTAAGCAGTTTCTAATCCTTCTTGCAATTTCCTTGCCCCTCCAGTTGTCCTGCTACAACTGTTCCTGCAGCCATGCTGCAAATCTGATTACCGAAATGTTTTCGGTTCAAAATAACCCTGAGGTTCAATGATTCGGTTTGCTATTAATTCAAACATCAGATTTCTATCACTAACCCCCAGACAACATATTTCAGGACAATTTGAATGTGTATGTGCCTTTTTGTGTACTTAGAAAATCATAAAAATCCCTCAAACAATTTATAGAGCAACTAAGTGTGAAGCATAATCCTCTTAGGAAAATATGCAACCTAAATCCCCTCAGGCTTTGTCTAAACTAGAATTTTAGAAGATTTGATGCAAAATAGGATACACCTTCAAAATGCTAAGAAAAAAATAAAGTCTGCATTTCAGGATATGCTGAACTTGCTGGCACAGACAAGAAAGAAGATACCAAACACATGCCTCCTGCACCCACTGGTGCTTCCTCAGTTCCATTGACAGTAAGAGAGGACACAGAAAAAGGGAGAAATTCAGATCAGGAGGAGCTCCCCTTCTGCTTTCAGTTTCACTGATCCATAAACAAAAGCTGTAAGTTTCAACTACCAGCACCACTGATGCAGCAGATGATAGCTGTTGGCTTTTTAATATCTCTTTATACATCATTAGCTTAATAACACCACTTAAATGATGGCATCCTCCCATCTTGTGGAATTACAACACCAAATGCATATTTGGCATGCTGTTAGTCAAAGAGAGATAAACAATGGTACAACCTTGCCACCTTCTTCATATTAAATTTATCAAATTACTTACTCACTGTATTTCCTCTAGATGCCTATTAGATGCCAGGGACTTGTACAACACCACATGCATACTCCAGCCACTACTGCAACCCTCTTCCAAGCCTCTCCTTGCCCAAAGTTATGCACCATCCTCAACTTTATTGCCAATGGCTTGGCAGACATAGGTTTGAAGAGACTACGTTTGCATTTGTCATTAAGGCAGATGCAGTGGTTGAGAGAAACACACATAACTGCATTTCATCAGCTGGTGACCCAGTTGCCTGCTGACTGTTCAGATTTCTATGTCTTCCCCTGCAGGTCTCAACTTCTTAAACCCATGACCAGTGATGCTGCCTCTTGACTTTTGCTTGCTAACCTCAAATGCAACACAGGCTGGATGGGAATCACTGACACTCCCCCTGGCACAAAAGACCTCACACTGATTTTCACCAGTAGCAATTTTGCAGTATTTTGGGTATCTAACATAGCAAGTGAATCTGCAGAAAGGAATGGGGGAAGCTCTTTGTCCACCCAGGCTTGGGAGAGGAGCACCAGAACCTAAGGTTACTCTCAACTAGGGCATAGCATAAGCATGACTTGATAAATTCATCCAGGAAGGAAGGAAGGAAGGAAGGAAGGAAGCAGATAGTCCTCCCCAAATCACCAGCAATGAAGAAGTATGAGTCGAACAGAAGCCTGCAGTGATATAAAAAGGAACTGTTCCAGCCCAATCCCCACTCTGTGCTGGCATAGGTAGCAGTGAGTGCAAGGATATCCAGCCCAGCACTCAACCCAGCTGAAAAGTTGTACATCTTTCACCACTCCCCAGAATTATTAGTTTTAATCAGTTCAACTTCCTGCACTGTCACAGGAGCACTGGTGTGGTGGATTTGGAGCAACTCTATTGAAATCAGTTCATACTGCCTGGAAATCTCACCCTTTTCGCTGAAGAAGCTCAGCCACAATGAAGTATGTGCAACTATTCCACTTTATCTTAAATCTTTATTTCAAGGCCTAATTAAGATGACCTAAATACCAATAATTTATAAACTTTCCACAGCTGGATATTATACCAGAAATGCCAGCTAATGAGCCTGCCTGCTGTGAACCAAGTCACATCCTGTGCCACACACGCAGGGAAAAAAAAATCTTGGAAAAGCAAAGCTTTTGAAAGGGTCTTCTAGGGAATATGAGCAAAATCAGTTTTTCATTGTCTTCATTAAGAATTAATCACCTCAACTGGTGCTCAGTATTTAAATTAATCATCTTTCTTTCTTCAGGCAAGCAGACAGGACTTGTCTGTACAATTTCTAAAAGGGTTATTTTTCAAAAATTGATTAATGTGCTATAGCAGCTGGTGTATGTTGACACTTGCACTGAAATAACCCAGACTGGTTTATATCACACATCATCATCATTCTGATGCAAAGCTGTGTTGATACCTATTTTATGTTTAAAAATGTCTTCTTTCAATAATAATTAGGGAAAATCATTCTATTGTTGAGGAAGAGCATATGCAGAGCAAAACAAAATAGCACCATGTGACTCATACACAATTCAGGCTTTGGGATAAGACTTTAAGCAGATGCAATTTCAATATAAAATGCTTTAAAACTTATGCAGAGTAAATGTCAGCCAGCTAACACAGGCTAAAATACAACTGCCCTTAATAACCAAATTAAAGGTATCTCGATAAAAATGTTAATTTCTCCTAGCTCATGGAAAGCCTTAAAAAAAATTCCTGAGTTTAACCACCACATTCTAGGTATACCAAACTCACCTCACCTCTCTCTCCCTGCAGCCTCATACACACAGAAAAAAGCAGTTCAGCACTGCAAAGATGATGACCTCCTCGTTTTAATGATCAGCCCCTGAAGGACAGTGATGGTCACAGTCTCATGCAACTTACAGACTCTTTTTGTTTAAAAACCACGTAATATCACTCTCCCTTAAACACCTAAAATATTTTTTGCCTGTTTCCTTGCTGTTCCCTGTGCATGAGCCCAGAAATAACCAATACCCTACAATGAAATTCCAAGTCCAGCCCAAAGAAAGAAACTGAAGAGGTATTTCATGCCCTGGTATTTTAAATGGCTGTTTTCTAAGATATTCATGAGCCTGTTTGCATACCGGATTTATCTTTGACCAGCTGTCTGAATCTCTGGGGAAGTTTCTTAAAAGCTAAAATGTTGCTTTTGTTTCCCCTCTCCAAAGTAAAATTAATATGTAGCTCAGTTGCAAAAACAAAATAAAATACAAGGGTACCAAAAAAAAAAAAACAACAAAAAGAAAAAAAAAAACCACCAAAAAAACCCCCCACAAAACTAAATCCAAGCACCAATAAAATAAAGATCTGTAACCAAAACAGCAAATAGTCAAAGTGAGTAGACTGCAAAAATATTCACTGTGACCATCCCATCAATTGGTGGAAAATTATCTTCACTGTCAATTGCAGCAAAATACTTAGCTCAATTATGTTAAACATACAAAATCTTAAGCCACATAGACAGGAGGTGATAAAAAAAAAGAGCTGCAATCAGAACACTGGATAAATTCATCCAGGAAGGAAGGAAGGAAGGAAGTCAATGATAATCCAAGAGATAAGGAAAAATAAATCCATGTGTAATGACTTTCTAGCACAGATACAAAATCAGGAAGAAAAAGATGCATTTTAAATATACCTAATTTCTGTGAAAGCTGGGGGTGTAGTTTCCCCCCTGCTTCTGTTAAGACTACCAACCTGCAACAGCTGAAGCCAGTTGTGCAGGTGCTGCTGGCTCCCAGATCAAAAACATCCCTCTAGGACAAGCTTCTTCACTTTGAGACAACTGCACCCCTTCAGAGATGCAGTGACAATGGGACACAAGTGCTAATCATCTGAATGTCTGCCAGCTGCATTAACACTGATGGGAGAACTTGGGAGGACAAAGACATTTCAACAGCTGAAGACTTGGCAGTTCACATGTCCCCTGGATCACC